GGCCATGCTGAGGCCGCGTCCCACATACAGCAACTAGAAGGATGTGCAGCTATGACATACAACTATCTACTGGGGCTTTGGGGGGAAAAATAAATAAATAAAATCTTAAAAGAGTGTCTGTATACTATTCTTGCAACTGTTCTATAGATTTGAAATTTTTCAAAATAAAAAGTTGGTAAAGGGAATTTTCCCAAGCATGATGCATCAAATCAGTAAAAAATTTTGAACATATATGTGTACTTATTTATAAATTACATAAACAACTGCTCTAAATATGTGGATTATCAAATATTTTACAAATTGGGGACATCAGATGGTTGAAATCAATATCATTTTTGAAATAAAGTTATCTCCCTTTAATACAAAGAGATTCCCTTCACGTGCCAGCTATCCCACTACTGCAGAGAAAACCTGTGGCGAAGTGGGAAGTTGCTGGGATTGGAACGTTGAATTCAAAACCTTGAGTTAACAGAAGAGGAAATACATCCAGCCTTTCTGCTCAGATTGGAAAAACATGTACAGTGGGCCATCTACCAAAGGCGACGGAACACAGCTTGGAGAGCTAGAAGCACATAAATCAAGTCCTAATGAGAAGAATTTATAGCCAAGAATTTCCAAAAAATATGAGACTTTATCACAACCCTGAGGGCTGCCTGAATTCTTGTTGTCAGGGAGAAAGAGCAAGTCACAGAACTCCGAGCCAAGCCACCAGGTCAGAAGTGGGAGCCAGCAGTGGGGATGGTGGCCTCAGCCTCCTAAGTCAAACCCAACAAACAAAATTCCTAGGAGTGGGGCAGGGCTAAGTTGGTTTCTTAATCCTCCTAAGGGAGCTTCTCAGATCCAGCCCAGAGTTCAGTGAGAGACTGTGTCCTTAATGTTCTTCCAGTGGGACAGAGCCGGTAATAAACAAGACTGAGGTGCCACCCACAGCCCAGCAAGGGTGGATAAGTTTCCGACTGTGCTTCACTTCCGGTCAACATCATATCTAGTGTCTGCCTCCTTGAAGGGAAGAATTTCAAAACCCGGGGAACAATTCTCTCTCATGTTTTAAGGGCCAAAGGCATTGAAAGAGAAGGTGATTAAACTTAAAATTTGATTAAACCTAAAACTTAAAATTTGATCTTCCAGGGGATCTAAATTCTCCAGCTAGAAGACTTTCAAGAGGCTACA